TATTTAGGTGATTGTCCACTAGGACTCCGAGGTCCCTCTCACAGTTACTACTATTGAGCAAGGTGCCACCTATGCTGTACTTGTGCAATTGGTTTTTCTTGCCTAAATGTAGAACCTTGCTTTTTTCACCATTGAATTTCATTTTGTTAGATAGTGCCCAGTGTTCAAGTCTGTTCAGATCCTTCTGTATCTTAAGCCTTATATTCCAACTGAATGGAAAGCAAGAGCTATAATGTCTGGAGCAGCAAACTGAGCATTATTGCACCCTGGTGGCCGTGAACTGCTCTATGGTTGGAAGAGTTTGGTTGACTAGTTTCTTATGGTTATATCAATGTCATTAGGGAAGTTCTAATAGCAGCTACAAAATACACTTCACACATCACTAAACAATAATGTGTTTTGGCTTTGAGAGGGTCTAGTATGTTTTCTTTATTCTGCTGGTGAACTGGTATAATTGGATACTAACCAATAATACCAGTAAATCTCCTCTCTAATCATTTTGTGTGGCTTCAAAACAGAACAGTGGTGGTTTTGCTGATTCAGTACTATTTTCAGAAACACAATGAGTGTTAAGGAACTTAAACACTGGACTGTGTTTCTTGCACATTATAAAACTCCATTTTGCAGGCGTACTCTGTAGAGCAGGGGTGTCAAACTGCCGGCCTGCGGGCCGGATGCGTTATGCTGAAACAGCACCCACCCCATTGCCAGCAATGGAGAAAAAGTCACGATATGTCACGACACGTCACGTGACGTTGCGAGTTTACATCCCTGCTATAGAGAAACACTTTATTAAATATTAACAAGTAATACGTCGTAGAACAATTCTGGCCACAACCACAGTGCATATATCTACTTTCCCTATTTTTCTTTCAGCCCCTGTGTCAGCAGAGTCATTCAGATTGAACCTCAAGCGTATGCAGAGGCCGGCGATAACTTCCGCTACAGCCCTCCACCGCCCTACAGCAGCCCCAGTTTTGCCCACGAAACTCAAATCACAATGCAGTCTACAGTCCAGCTGCGCACTGAATACGACCCACACACTCAGGTTTATTACACCACAGCAGAACCTCGGTCCGAAATATCAGTCCAACCGGTCACTGTGCCACAGGATGACCTCAGCTGTCAGAGCCCGGAAAGCACCAGTTCAACCAGGGATCTTCTTTCTCAGTTCTCCGAAACTACATTGCATTGTCTTGAGCCACCCTGTACTAAATGGACACTCTCCTCTTTTGCTGAAAAGCAGTATGCGCCACTCCTGTTAAAACCAAAAGCAAAGGTAATGTTGCTTGGTTGGTTACTCTTGTCTTTTGGGGTCACAGTTAAAATATATTGGCCGTCCTTGAAAAACTAGTGATATTGTAAGTATCTAAAGTTCATGCTGCATTCTACCTCCATGTATAGATACTTCAGTTTTAAAAAATGACACTGGATTGTCCCTGGAAATAGCTCTTAAATAAGTTTACCTCCTTCTCCTTCAGGTACAGGTAGTCCTTGACTTATGACCACAATTGAGCCCAACATTTCTCTTGCTAAGCAAGGTAGTTAAGTGAGTTTTGCCCCATTTTATGACCATTGTTGCCACAGTTGTTAAGTGAATCACTGCAGTTGTCAAGTTAGTAGTATGATTGTTAAGTGAATCTGGCTTCCCCATTGATTTTGTTTGTGAAAAGGTCACAAAAAGTGATCACATGAGCTGGGACACCAACCATCATAAATATGAGTCAGTTGCCAAGTGGTCAAATTTTGATCATGTGACCATGGGGATGCTGTAACGGTCGTAATTGTGAAAAATGGTCATAAGTCACTTTTTTCAGTGGCGTTGTAACATCGAATGGCCACTAAATGAACTGTTGTAAGTCAAGAACTACCTGTATGTGTGGAGGTCAAACACATGGCGTGGTCATTTGTGGTTCTAGATCCTTAAGATGCTTTTCCTTTATAGGAAGTTGTTTCTCAAGCTTTTGTGTTATTGTTGTTATTTCAATTTCTCCTGTCCATTTTCTTCTGCCAAACCATTAAGACTCTTGGCTCTGGGTTGAAAGTGAGCAACTATAGAGAGCGTGAACATCTGAAGGAATCAAAATCAAAATGGAGATCATGATCATGTTATGGAAGCTTGTCCCCTTTTTATATATACACACAATGCATGTAAAGGAAGGAGGGCTTTGATTGTGCAGTTGCAACTGTCCTTCTGATGTCTCTGGTATGGATATGGTACTGTATCGATAGGGACTTGGGGATATAAATTCTATAATGAAGCATTTGTCCCAGATGTTGCCCAACCTTAGCTCAGTTTGAATGCTTTTACAAACAACATAGCCACCATTAGGCTATTAAAAAGTGCACAGAGACTATTAATTAGGTCAACCACATGTGAGTGGCACCAGGTTGAGAGGGCTATGCTAAACATTGGCGGAATCAATACATCACGTTGAACCACTGTTCTAACTATGGTTTGTTAAATAACCCACTATTGCTGGGTTCACAAAATACTAAACCAAAACTCAGCAAACTGTGATATACTTGGTACAATTTTATCAGCTCAAGTCAGTGAATATATTGGCTCTGCTGAAAATAGTTTATGGAAACGCCCCCCCCCCCCCCCAGTCCTTATAGGAGTCATAGGTTATAAATTTAAATAGTTCCATATGCATCCTTTTGTAACTTTTGTAGCCCGTGATTTTTTTTTTTAATGTTAAAATCCATTTACTTATGCATGCTTTTTTCCTGTGGTTTTGTTTTTCAGATTATGGTCATTTTTCTTTTTCTGGGTTTACTTGGCCTTAGTCTTTACGGAACGACTCGTGTGAAAGATGGATTGGATCTCACAGACATTGTGCCACGGGAGACTCGGGAGTATGAGTTCATTGCAGCCCAGTTCAAATACTTCTCATTCTACCATATGTATATTGTTACCCAGAAAGCGGATTATCCCAACATCCAACATTTACTTTATGAACTTCACAGAAGCTTCAGCAATGTGACCTATGTTTTATTGGAAGAAAATAAGCAACTCCCTAAAATGTGGTTGCATTATTTTAGAGACTGGCTGCAAGGTAAAACCAAACAGCAATAATACATCTTTCTCGCAAATGCACTTCCTGCCTTTTTAATGCATCGTACCAGTGACTGATGCTTTTCTTCAATGGAATATCTCTGAAAGTCAAGATATTTACAAATAATACAGATAGTCCTGTACAGGGCTTTTTTTTTGTCATAGAACGCCCAGAACGGAGTTCCAGCACCTTTTTTGGATGGAACCTTGTAGGGTAGGCAAGGCGGGTTGTATGACGTGTGTGAGTTCCGGCACCTTTTTTTTTTTTTTTTTTTTTTTTTTACAAAAAAAGCACTGGTCCTGTATGATTTATTTCCCCACAAATCCTCACATTTTTTACCTTGAGGTCTGTAAAGCAAACGAAAGCTGAAGTAAGATCAAATGCAAAGATGTGGTTTCACTTAGTGACCACTTTGCTTAATAACTGAGTTGCAGGTCCCAGTTACGGTCACTAAACAAGGACTACCCATATCGTTTTGCGACACTTACACTAATTTCATGCAGATTAATCAGTTGTTTCTTTCTTGAGTTACTTTTATATATTTTCCCTGCCCAACAGTTCAGAAAATTCCAGTTGCTAATTAGATACATTCATATTATGCATTTGAATTTTTTTTTAAAAAAAACAACCCAATATGTAAATAAGGATTTTTTTACTTCTAATGCTTTTCTCACTTTATCTTATTCCAATCATTCTCTAAAAACCAGTATTATTTTTTTTACTAGGGGCTTTGCAGCTTTGTAAATTGATTTTGAATAACTAGGGTCACTAGCTGTTGTTCTCTCTTTCTCTAGCCATGTTGTACGTGTTATGTCTGGTAGGTTGCACTTTCTCAGTGTTTTTATTCTGGATGTCAAAGAGGAACTTGTATTATAAATTTCTGCATGTGGAAAACTCTAAAGCAGGGGGGTCCAACCTTGACAACTTTTAAGACTTGTCGTCTTCAACTCTCAGAACTCCCCAGCCAGCTTGACTGGCTCCAGAATTCTGAGAGCTGAAGTCCACAAGTCTTTAAAGTTGCCAAGGTTGGACTCCCCTTCTCTATAGGAAACAGAGAAAGGGTTTGCGAACAAGAATGAGTACCCATGGTTGTGTCATTCATGTCCCGTTCTTCCTTCCAAGGTTCTTCCCTCTTTATAGCTGTGGCTAACCTGTGAGCTCTGTAAGGATGGTTTTGATTACAGCGTCCCAGTGCAGCTGTGAGGTGGGTTGGTGGATCCCTCCCACCCTTCCCTTCTCTACTTTAGACCTGCGGTTGGTTCATCTCTTCTCACACAGCCTCCTTGCACTGGGCTGCGGCTTCCTATTCTAAATCTAATCCAAATTTGCTCCGTGAGGTATTTCTCCCCCCCCCAGCCTCTCCCTTGGAAGGGGTGGCAAAGAGGAAAAGAACAGTTGAGAGTGAATAGGTGTTGGCTGTGATCTTTACACGTGCTGGCAGCAGATCCCACAACTTGTATTAGCTCCACAAGTTGAACAGATGGAACAAATTGACAAAATCATGTTCACTCATGCTGTGCTCAAGCAGGAGCTGGGTTGCTGTTTGAAGTTTGAATGGTGCGGTGTGAGTTTCTTTTTCCTCCAGCTTTGGGGTGGAATTTCTGGTCATGTTGTTGTGTAACCTATGGCTTCAGCACCTAGTGGTAGCCGAAACAACTAAAGTCCTATGTGTCTCCTCCCCATTGCGTAATTCCTTTTAGGATTGTGAGTGGATAAAACCTTTTTTTAAGATAATGGCTCCATTTCTGACTTGGTTATTACGTTGTTGTTTTTTGGGCTCAGTCCCTGGATTGTATTTGAATGAAGCAATTAATTTTCCCTCCAAGTGTTCGTTTGCAAATTACTTGCTGCTTATTTCTCCCATTATAGATTTCCAGTCAGGTTCTTTACTGTGTGTGTTCTCCTTTCCTTATTAGCATACCGCACATATAATAACCCTGCTCATCTGATTTCTCTCACAGAATATGGAGGTGTCTTTTTTTAAGTTTAAAAAAAAATGGTTTACCAAACCTGTACAGGTTGTGTACATTCTCTTCCTGTATGCATAAGCATTAAGACTGGGCAGTCCTTCATATCTGATCTCCAAGAAATATTTTGGAACAGATAGGTACATGAACATAATACCTATTGCAACACATTAAAGCATCTGGCTGTTTTGGGGGGGGGCTGCTGTGTTTTTGCATTTCCATATACTCCGAAGTACCTTTTAGAGATCAAATTTGAAACGCTGCATAGCTGAAGTAAGCTCAAGTGCCAGAGTAAATTTTGCACGCATGAAGTGCCTGCAAAGCTTGTTTTGTTATATACAAGCCATGTGTTCAGCTGCACACACAGTAGTGTTATGATGTCAATGTTTTCACGTGTGGAGAAGTTTAGCTAAGTGGGTGTGGGAGAATTGGGCTAGTTTTGAGACAGCAGGAGGTCTGTCTGGAACTCTGGCCTGGCAGCCTTCCACAGACAAGTTGGAAGATGGGGAAGGCAAACTATGCAAGGCCTGCACTTCTGGGAGGCCAATGTCTCAAGTTTAGGGCTGCCTCCCAAACATCTGCTTGGGAGGCAGGTGACAGTTCTCCAGCCAGACTCTTCTTGTTTCAGGGCTATGGGGAGAGGCTGGAAAAGACAGAACTAAGAGTCAAAAAAGAACACAAGGAAAGTAATGGCAACGTCTCACAAGCCTTGTCAGCACTTACTCAAGAGCTGAAAACCTTGGAGTCCTGAAACACCTCCTTTATTAGTAGGGTTGCCAGGTGTCCACTATTTGAGTGGACAGTCCACTTTTTTCACATTATGTCCACTATTTTTTTTCACAAAATAGTGGACATTTTTTTTATTCAAAAGCTTTATGATGAAATGGTACGTAATCTAAAGCTGTACAGTCTACTTTTTTTTACTACTTAACCCCCCCCCCCCCCGCTTGTCCGGTATTTTTGGGACGCAGACCTGGCAATCCTATTTATTAGTTGAAAAAAAAAAGAAGTGTGGTTAGTTGTCTATCTCTCTTCCATTATGAGCTGGATGGATGGTGATTTATTAACTTGTGGGAGTGTTGCCTCCCAACAGGTCTCCAGGAGGCTTTTGACAAAGACTGGAAATCTGGGCAGATCACCCTTCACGGTTACAAAAATGGATCTGAAGATGCTGTTTTGGCTTACAAACTTCTAGTTCAGACTATTTCAAACATCCGAGAGAAACCCCTTAACGTGAGCCAGGTATGTTCAAAAATACAGTTGTATGTTTATGGTTTCAAATGGAAGAATGCTGTATATTTCTTTATTCATTAACTCATTTACTCAATGAACTTGGGAAACAATAGCTCTGAGCTGCCCCCTTGTTTATGATAAAACCCCTGTATTTGCTCGGTAATTTAAGACACTTAAAACAAAAGAAGTCGTGAGTTGAACAATGGTAGAAATAAGCTCAGGATAAATTGTTTGTTTTAACCAATGTAGATATGCATGTGCCCACAGCAAGAAGTTGCTCGAATGAGTTCCAATTGATTTCAGTTGACTACACTGAGCTGAAAATATGCTCAGAATTGTTGAAAACATCCGGCTGATGACTAGTATGCTTGCTTCTTGACCTTTGGGATTGGTTATATTCAGCTGCAGCTCTGGGCAGCCTCCCAGGAACCACAGTGGAGCAATAAATACTATTGTTCCTCATGGATGTTATGTTATATTGGCAATGAACCACATTGCCTTTTGCGTTTTCTTCCTTTCCCCATATAAAACCCTATTCTGTCCTTTGCCTAAGTGATATGCAGCTACCCTGAGCTGGCTGGTTTGATGATGAGTTAATAGCATTTGTGCTATTTGTTATTGCCTTCTTGAAGGAAAGCAAATTTGAAATTTCTGAAAAAACACACACAGGAATCCTCTCACCCTGAAAAACGACTGCACAGATTTTGGATATATTTCTCTAGAAAATAGATTGTAGCTGTGGAGATCTAGAGACTTTTGGTTATCAGCAACAGCATGGCTCCTAGCCTGTTCATCACTCAACAGGAGTCATAATATGATTCCAATATTTATCTATATTTCTTAGTTATCTTTGGTGCTGTGGTAGCCTTTTTTGGTGCCTTCATTAGACCAAGGGCCGTAGCTACCATGTTATGGTGACTTTGTTCCTAGTTCAGGGCTAGGCATAGCTGACTCAGGAATTCTGGGAGTTGAAGTCCATGAATCATAAAAGAGCCGAGGTTGCCTACCCCTGTCCTAGTTGCTGGGAAAAATCCAAAAAGTGCTTCTCTGTCTTAAAGGACTTGATTCTAGAGTTTTGTATAGTGTGATATAGACTCATGTGCTTTTAATAATATTCATGAAGACATTGGGTATTATTGTCTAATGTTCTCTGATTGTGAGTACGCTGAAGATACAGATCTATTTCTTCTTTACAGCAGAATCATGTAAAGCTGTGAAAGTTCTGAATAGATGTTTGGAAACAGTGGGTGGTCTTGTGGCTGGCTGGGGACTTCTGGGAGTTGAAGGCCACAAGTCTTAAAGTTGCCAAGGTTGGACACCCCTGTTTTAAAGACAGGAACCCAACCAAAAGGTATACTTCTTTTGTTGATGAGGAGTCACATTCTCCAAGAATCGGAGCACAGCTGCTGTGGAAGATTTATTGTGGGATTTAGGATAGTTGCCATAGCCAGAACTGCTTATTGGCAGCTTAGGCAGATTTACTGGCTGGAGCATTTCTTAGAGGAGTAACTTCTAAAGTAGATTACCGGGATGCATTTTATGTTTGTTTTCCTTTGCAAAACTGTTCAGAAATTCCAATTAGTTCAGAATGTAGCTGCCCAATTAATTATTGGAATGGTTCCATGGCTACATTTTATATCAAACCCAAAAGTACTTCTCCTGTTTGCTTTCTGGGCAGGAGTTGTAATTTTCAACCTTGAAAGGCTGGGGCCAGATTATCCAAAATATATCTTTCTCCTGTCAGTCTTCCCGTATATCATAATAGGATATTTCTCATTGTCCTTTTCTCCTCTGAGTTCCCAGCAGACAGTGACAAGCAGAATTTTGTCACTGTATTTCTGCATAGGATAAAGTTCAATCTGCCCTGCCCCAAGTTAAATGATGATGAGGATTGGCATTTGAGGCTTTAAAAAAGGACAGTTTGTATATTTATGTTATTAGTGTGACAGCCTTCATCAAGAAGTTCAGCAGGAATAGACGGAAGAAAGGGGAGATAAAATGAAATTTAGGAATTTCAGATGACTCTTAAAACTTAAAATACCAAATGCACGAGGGCTTCTGATATAATTTCCTCGGCCTGAGAGAGAAAAAATTGTGCTATGGGAACCCCCAGGGCCCATTAATTATATTCTGCAACTCTAGAAAAATTTGAAGACATACAATTGTTGCATGTCCTGAGAATTAATTGATTCCAGATTCCAGCTTTTTTTTAAAAAAAAAAAAGTTTGTTTGCCACTGTTCTTTCAGATAATTAGAAAGCCTTAAAAACGAATGTTATGGCAGAATGCAAAAACGACCCCCCCAAACTTACTGTTTTTCTTTTTCAGCACCTTCTGAGTATCACCATTTTTGTAGTTTGACAAAGCAGATTTTGCTCTAGAATTTTAAGATTATCTGATTCAAAGCCTGATCCAATTCATTTGCCCCTTTGTCCCCCATGAAGAGAACATTCTGGATACATTCATCTGGTTTTTGATGTTGGGTATCTTGTAAATATGTAGGTCATAGGAGACAAGCGTTAGCAAAATTTATACAGATGTTGTTTTATTTTTATAGCTCTCCTCCATTTACTGGGTGGCATTTCCTTCAGTGTTAACAACAGAGGTTAACTGCACACAGACATCTACAGGACTCTTGCCAGATTCTCTCCCCCCCCCCCCCTTTCCTCAAAACCACCTTTAAATATGTTTCTCAGCAGTTTGGTCATTTGCCCCTCTTGGCTGCAGATTGTGTATGAGAATTTAGGCTTAATTGGCTCAGTCTTCATCGGGAACCTTCTTTTGATTTAACGTTTCTGACGAACTGCACGCAAAGCATTTTACACCATTCCAAGCACTTTCAAAAATCTGGATATAAAAATATCTCCCATGCTGGGAATAATATGCTTGTGGTCTCTCTGTAAAAAATATGTTTCTCACAAACATATGTTCTGTGTACTCTCATCTACTGTGTGCCTCAGCCTTTTTGTGTTAAAGATTTGAGCAAGCGTGATTCTGAAAGACTTTGCATTTTGCAGTTGGCTAAACAGCGCTTAGTGGATGCAGATGGAATCATTAACCCAAAGGCGTTCTACATGTATCTAACAGCCTGGGTTAGCAACGATCCTGTGGCATACGCTGCCTCTCAAGCCAACATACGGCCCCATCGTCCAGAATGGGTTCATGATAAAGCAGACTATATGCCAGTAACCAGTAAGGAACATTTTATTATAATATCTTGCTATTTATTCAAATGTCTCTGCTTTTCCTTCCAGACTTAGCAGCTTTTAAGTCCATTGACATTTTCCAGGACTCTTGACTGCAAACAGAATAATATATATTGCTTTACTCTGTAAAAACTCAGGAGATAGATGTGGTTGTGTAATGTAGTAGAAGAATGCTATACCGTGTTAGCATTTTGTGGGGGTGTGTGTGAGAGAACTCTGTAATAGTTTACATTAAAGTTTAAACCTTGCATTCAGCATTTCATTTCAGTAAGGGAAAGTTTTTAGTTCCATGATTGTTGCCTTTGCAAATGTAGAGTTTTTGCCGTTGGGAATTATTGCATGTTTGTTAGGAATCTGTCAGCATGCAAAGAATTTCTGGAAAACTAGGTCATTCTCTAACACCTGCCTTGTGTCTGTGAACTGTGTTGGGATGAGAAGACATCTAAAAGTCCGATAGCTCTTCCCGTGCATTTTCCCTCAGCTCTCTCTGCTGCGGTCTAAATAGCAATACCAAGTTAATGTTGCTTTGACACTTGATTTATTGGTTGGGCTGCTGGCTAGTTATTGGTGGCAGGCGTGAAGGAAGAAGAGGAGTGGTATTTACGGCAATACAACTGGATAACAAGGAAATTGTCCTTCCTTCTATCTCAATCCTAAAGCTCTTGGGCATCCAGCCAAATCTTGTCTTAATGAAAATTTATAGTTGAGATTATAATAGGGCAAATCATGTTTAGCAAGTCAAGGGAATGACCCTGCAGAGTCTGGAACACACAGCTAGTGTGCTCCATAGCTAGTTATAAAAAGCTTCCTTTAGTCAGGGAAAGAATGGGTTGTATGATGGACTTAGCACTGCTTTCAAAAAGAGCATGAAAAATGTGGATATGCTATGTCATTAAAGGATAAAAATTATGTATTTCCTGAATTAACCACTTGAAGTATTTAATCTTTCTTTGACTGACTGGAACATGCTCTCAAGCTTATTTTCAATAGCCAGAGAAAATGTAACAAATGTACTGGCTAACTTTAGCATTCAAAATATTTAACTGATTACAAATCCTGGCCCTATTCACTGCTTCATTGTAAATTGTTGGGATTATAGTGCTGTCAGCAACACAAGGATTTCAGAAGTATTACCCTTATATCAGTATAAAAGTACTTGAGATTTTGTAATCCTCCTCAGTTCAAATATTAAATGTGTTTTAATCTCCAAATATTTGTGGGGTTGTCACTCAGGACGTATTGTTTGCTGATAGCAAATTGTGCAACCTAACAGATTAAGTTGAATAGATATTTTAAAATCTTTTCCATCCTAGTGGCTTGGCTTCCTATCTAAAATACTTTAAATGGAGGTATTTGATGTCTTGACAGTTTGTAAACAATGTAGGTATTTTTATGAGATAACTTGTTCCAAGTTTAACAGTGTGTAGAATATGGGTGGAGAGGCAGTTAGTGTACAACAATGACAGAGTATCTTGTAGAACCATAAAGGCCAAAAAGCATTAGGGCAGGGGTAGGCAACCTTGGCTCTTTTATGACTCGTGGACTTCAACTCCCAGAATTCCTGGAATTCTGGGAGTTGAAGTCCATGAGTCATAAAAGAGCCAAGGTTGCCTACCCCTGCATTAGGGCACCAGCTTTCATGGACTGATTCACATAAATTAATCCATAGAAAATATGTTTATCTTTGCTTTTATAGTAATGGACAAACTTAGCAACTTCTCTGAAATTCCCTATAATGTGCAGTAACATTACAAAAAAAAAATACTGTGTGATAAAAAAAAAAAATCAACTTTGAAGGATTTTTTTTCTGTTCTGGGACAACAAAGACTTCAGCCACAAAAGATTAGTGATTTTAGAATACCGCTGCTATTTTCTCTTTAGAGTGTTCTTTTGGGGATTTCTTTGCAGCATTCAAATAAATATACACTGCATAGAAGCAGTGTATATGCATGGAGGCATGCACGAATGAAATCTGACATACCCAATACCTTTTTATTATTCAGTGAACTGTATGGGTGGTATTTCATGGTGTATCCAATGTCATATTCAAAGGTAAATTAGCACTCAGTCCTAAACAATCACACCCATCTTTTTCCTTCCGCATTAATGATTCTCTCTACGTATATGTATAAAATATTTATATTTATATTGTCTTTTTTTTCCCCTCAGTCCCAGAAGCTGAGCCAATTGAATATGCTCAGTTTCCTTTCTACCTCAATGGACTGCGCGATACCTCTGATTTTGTGGAAGCTATAGAGAAAGTGAGAGCAATCTGCAATAATTACACTAGCCTTGGGATTCCCAGTTACCCAAATGGGTATCCCTTTCTCTTTTGGGAACAATATATAAGCCTTCGTCATTGGCTCCTCTTATCCATTAGCGTGGTTCTGGCCTGCACATTTCTGGTGTGTGCCCTCATTCTTCTGAACCCCTGGACAGCTGGGATCATTGTAAGTCTTTGTTGAAGTCAAATTCCTTTTAGCATAGCTCTTGCTACACTCAGGAAGGTTTTGTTTATGTCTGAGCTACTAGTGGAGTGTGCATATTGCATCATTCATGATATATTTATTCTACTACTTGAGGGGGCAGGTTTTCCTGCTAAAGGTACATATGCTTTAATAACCGTAATATTTTGACCCAGTATTATATTGAAGTTTTAAAAATAAAGATGGCTAAACTTTTGGCTTCCATCTAAATTCCTAGGTGGGAAAAAAAAAATCAAAATTAGAACATGTTTTTTATAAGTGTGTTCATATAATATATATTTGTCATGGGCAGTTTTGGCTTAGGGAATCATTTTCTTGTTTGAAACATCTTCATTTAAACCTATACAGCTTTTGCTGTTAGTTCTCAGGTTTAAGGTACCCCGGATGAGTATCCCCAAAGCATGACTCTCCTTAAACTGCACAGGCTGTTTGTATTCCAGCCTTTGACCACCCACTGACCTCTAGTGCTAGCATAATTTATGATTTATAAAATTTATAGGCCGCCCATTTTACCTCAAGGTAACTATAACCCTAGACCAGTGGTTCTCAACCTGTGGGTCGGGACCCCATTTGGGGTCGATCGACCATTTCACGGGGGTCGCCAAGCAAGGCTGTCCGCCAATTTTTTCCCCCTTTTCCGGCGGGTGCCTTACCTCCCTTGGGCTGGGCCAGCTGGTGGTCGGCCTGCTCCGTCTCTGCCGCTTGCCAGCTACGCCTCGGCCGGCGCAGGGGGCGGAACCACACATGTGCGGCGCTCCCGGGCAGGGAAAGTCCTCGACTTACGACCGGTTGGGTAGTCCTCGACTTACGACCAGTTTACTCCTCGACTTATGACCGGTTTAGTCATCGACTTATGACCGGTTTAGTCCTCAACGTACGACCGGTTGGGGTCACGGCATTAAAAAGGTTGAGAACCACTGCCCTAGACTATAGTGGGTATTGTGCGATTCCTTCACTCTTGAGGAGTCTGGTTGTCGATAACAATGTTCAGCTTCAACAGAAGGGAAGAACGTGGCACAGTGCTGCAGGGCGTTAAAAAATAAATAAAATGGTGAATATAAACTGTAGAGACAGACTACTTTTTTATATGTTCTGCGAAGCACCAGACATCTTTCAGCACACTGGTATTCTTTTCAAGCAGAATGTTTGATGTTATTCTGTCTAAACTTTATGAACTTCTCTGCAGCTTATAAAATGGTAGAGGTAAAAAATGATTACTGGGTTTTGGCCTATAGATTTGTATAACAGGTATGTAAAAAGGTAAATGTTTAGTCTAGAAGAGCTGTCTAAAGGCTTGACTGTGTATGTTATCGGTCATGAGTCATTAGCTTATAAAATAATTTATTGTGATTCCTACAGAAGTGGGTTTGGGTTACAGAAAGGAATTTTACCTTTTGTACAGAAGTTTTAGACTCCTCCTCCTCCTCCTCCAGTTATCTATTTAGTGGAAATCCTGTATCTTTTTATGTATCTATCTCTGCACTAGGACTGAATTTAGTAGAGGTGAAACATTGCAAAAAAAGCAGAAGGCTAACAAAGTTTTAGATTGCAGTGCCAAATTAAAGGCTTACCTTCAGAAGAAATTACTATAGTATGTGATATTTCTAAAGATACAGACACTTACACTAAATAACTTAAGGTTGTTGTTTTTTTTAAAAAAAAAGGAAGTTATGCTTTCTGTCTGTGCTTTTGTTTCTGCAACATGATAAATAGTTAACCACCATCTGTGTAATCTTTTAGGTGGTTGTACTGGCTCTTATGACAGTGGAACTCTTTGGCATGATGGGTCTAATTGGAATAAAACTAAGTGCAGTTCCTGTCGTCATCCTGATTGCATCTGTTGGAATTGGAGTGGAATTCACGGTTCATATTGCTTTGGTAAGTGGCAACGTCCCTTCTAATTTCTGACATGCCATGTATGTGTGGGGGAAATTGTTTTGTGCAGCTTTTCCAAAATCAAGTACAAATTTGTATGTCAGAATATGAGTATGTGAACAAATTGCAAATACTGTACATGCAAAACCAAAGTGTTAAAATGTTTACATATTTCTTAGTTAATGCATATAAACTAGAAGTATAACAGTATGTCACGTACGTGTTTAAATATATGCATTTTCCTTGTTTTTTTTGAGAAGTTATCAAGAGGCTATACACACACACACACACACACACACACACCCTGTACTCAATTATTTTTTCAGATTAATTCATATACTTTATCTCAGGCATTTGAGTTACTGTAATATATGATATTGTAATTAAATTGGTTTGTCTATTACCCCATAATGCTGAAGATTTTTTTGAAAATCTATTTAATGGGAAGAAGAACTTCTGCTGTGGAGTGTATGTGCTTTTACATGTTTGCACAGATTCTCATATATTTATATTTACACTGGTAGAAAGCAAATACCAAGTCTTTAAATTAGGAGTAAATTCATAGCATAATCTATAATGCTTGTTGGGTTTAGGACGTTTAGGCACGGACAGTTGGCCATGCCTCCTTTGCCCCCTGCCACCCACCTCAGTCCATTTACAGCCAGCTTTCCTCCTCCTCTTGCCCTCCTCTGGCCATTCTCCATGGCCAATGGCCCCTGGCCCTCTGCTCCTTGCCATTTGGCCTGGCCCATTTGCCCAGTCACCATTTGATCTGGGCCTTTGGTTGCACAGGACAAATAGCTCCCAGCTAATGGGGTGGCAGGCAGAAGCCATGGTTTCGGGGCAGCGTGCGATTGGTGATGGCAATTGCAGGGGCTATGGGGGGACAACGTGAGAGGCAAAAAATTTTTAAAAGTACTGCGGCTGCTCTAGTTTTGGGCCCTTGTAGATCTGTCATCAGCACCGGAGAGAGGGGGAGTGGTGGTAGGAGTAGCAGCCGCCAAAGCCACTGGGGGGGCAGAGGTGAGAGTGTGTTGGGGGTACCAGGAAGGGAAGGAGAGATGCCTCAAAGATAGCTGGACAAAGATAGCTCGGCTCACAACTCAAATGAAAGGGAAGGGGGAGCAAGGCTGGCGCAACTTCTGCAATTGCAGGCGGCATGGGGGAGAGCATAGGCGAGTGGCAAGCCTGTGTGGCTTCTGCAATTGTGGGCGGTGGGGGGCAGTGCAGGTGAACGGAGGTGGCGCACGAACTGCCCATTCGGTGTCAGGCTGGATTCCAAGCACAGAGGCAACGGAGGGGAGGGTGGAAAGAAAAAAGGAAGCTGCTACTCTGCAGGTTTTTTTTAAGCTGTCAGAAGCTCTGTGCAGAGCGGGCAACAGGCAAGCAGCGGTGTGCGCGGGGCTTCCCATGTTGTCCACCCTCCCCTCTGTCTAGCCAAGGGTCCATGCCTAAATGACCCATTCCGGTCCTGTTACCTGAAACAGATGGTTCTATGTACTCATATTCATACTGATACGTACGCATATGTGGAAATGTTCTAGGTGCTAGTTTTCCCATCTGTGCCATTTGAGTGATGAAAATTTAAGCTACTATGTAAATTTCACTATCTTCTTGGCACCTATAGGAGGGTGTTTTACATAGCACTAATTGTGGACTTTTGTTGCTGTTGGAATTATAGTTTAAGATGTAACAAGCTAAATATCCTCTCCCATGCATTGCAGATTTCTGTGTCATTCCCTCTCTGTCTCTGTCTTTCTCTCATACACTCCACCCCCAAAATACGCCAGGTGCTATTTTTTAAAATGCTGACATACCTCAAGGTGATTAGTTTACATCTCATCTACTTTTGCCTTTTATCTCCATGCCTGTAGTCATTTGCTACCAAAATACTTCAGGCAGCTGTCATGTAGGAATTAGAGTAAAGCTACCAGATTTCTTTTAGAGTGCTTTTCTTCCAGTTTGTCTCTTTATTATTATTTTTTTTTAACTTGGATTGCAGAATTGAGGATGGCCACTTGATTACAAAAAAACAAAACAAAAAGATACAGAAAGCCCTAACTCTGCTACCATTGGTTTTTTTGTAGCCCTGTTTGGTAGCCTTAAGTTAATGTTTTAGCCACCTGTTTTCTATCCCCTTTTTAAAATTAAAAGTGCCTGCTGATCCAGCACTTAGATGTCAGCTTTCTAATATCATGATAGAGCTTTACTTAAAATAGAAGACATATTTTAAAACCATTCTTCCTGAATCACAACTGGAAATGAAAAACTTCACCAAAAGTTTAACAGGGAAAGTACGAAAGAGTGAGGATAGCTGGCTGAACATAAAGAATAAAGTCATACAGAATGTGAAATATTCAGTGTTTAGCTATCAGTAAATTTAAAAGGAATTTCTACAAATGAATATTTCATTTATATCAATTCTCCCTTCTGTTGTTTTTTTTCATATCTCATACATGCATTCATTTTAGTGTGCTGAAATCTACACTGCATGGTTTTGTAACTCAGGGCTTACAAAATGCTCTGACTATTTATCCATCCATTATCGGCATGTACAGCTTCCAAGCTCTATCTCTTTAATTTTTTCTATGAGCCCAACTACGATGTACATGTTTTCAGTGAATTCAGCGCTGTCCAAATGTTCACAACTACAATTCCCACATGGGCCTGTCATTGTCCCTGCTTGCTAAGGTCAAGGGAAGTTGAAATCCAAACCATTAAGTACAAGTGGTCTGTACTGCACTTTAAAAATCAGAAAGACGTTGTCTTATCTGGACAATGTTTGACTGTACTATATTGCTGTGTAACAATCTGTGGTGCAACACCTTTTCCAACCCCAGATGGTATGGTCAAAAAGTACAGTTAAGGGAGTATGGTTACACATTTTAAGAATATAGGGGTGAAAGAGGTTCCAGCATAAATATTAATGCAAGGGAAAGTGAAATCATCATCATTAAGTTTTAAATGGAAGAAAGACAAGTAATGTTAAATGTTGGGAAGAACAATATACAGCATCAGTGATACCCTAGTTCTCTTTGTCAGGTGAAATGGATGAAATTTTAATGACACACAAAAGAGGAAGAAAGAACATCAATATATTTTACAGATGTAATCTGCAGCGTTTGGTTAAACTGTTTTGTATTTAGTTGGTGCATTTAATATTTTAGAATAATTATAAACACCCTCTTCAAAGAATCCCTAGAAATGAGTCGTAATTCCTGTAAGTATGCATTAGGAATTATCTCTACACTGGAAGCAATTCCCCAAATGAGTAAAAGAATAACCATAGCTAGCCTTTAAATATCTGAGATTGGAAATGATTTCTGATTGGGGATGAATTATAATGTTCCTTAATTTATAAATTACATTTGATGACAGGTTGAAGAACTTTTCTATTCCTTAAATAATTAACTGCTAGATTTTGTACATCTTTGATTTCTGTGAGGAAAGTCAAACTGTGCTTACTAATTAATACATTTTTTTCTAGGCATTTCTAACAGCAATAGGAGACAAAAATCATAGGACTATCCTTGCATTAGAACACATGTTTGCACCCGTGTTGGATGGAGCTGTGTCTACACTACTTGGCGTATTAATGCTTGCGGGATCTGAATTTGACTTTATTGTCAGGTACAGCTTGCTCATTTTCGTCTTTCCCCTTTGTTTTATGAGAATACAATGAATGCAGTTGAACCTCACTTATCTGATTACTCAAATTTGCTTACAATTGACTAACTAATAAGACATGTGGATAAGTGAATCAATATTGTATTGGACTGTATGTCAGTGTTACACCAATTAAAAGCAATTTTATCCATATCTGTCAATGAAATAAAATCCAAACTACATGGCTGGACACAAACATTTGTGCAAATGTCAAGTGTTCCAGAACTTTTCTACAAGCAAAAGCAAGGGGGACAATTAGCTGTAAAGTTTACAATACACTTTTTTTTCCTTCTCTATACTTTATAACATCTTGCTTGATAAAGAGTTCAGGACTGCCTGCCCCCTCTATTTGGTAAAATGTTGGTTTATTGTAATAAAGGCATCATCCAATTATAGATTGTAGGCAAGACTGTTAGCAGAACTTGCTTGTTAACTGTTTTTCTCTCTTTTCTCTCTTGTCTTGTCTAAGGGTGGAAACAGATTTCTCTTATTTTTTTATTTCTGAACAAGGAGGACCAATGATAATTCACTTCCTTTTTTCCCAGCAAGCTTTGGGTGGTTTCAATATGGGTGTTGGGATTTTAATATTGAACTGGGTTAAGGATACACACAGAGAGAAGGGGAGAGATGCAGCCCCTCTAATGGCTGCAGCTTATCACAATTCCTAATTTCTTTTGCCTATTTCTGTTTTGGGAACTTGGACATTTCCATTTACCTGCTGTTGTAATAATGTAACATGCCTGCAATCTTGTGCCTCCGTTTTTACTGTACTGTGTTAGTGGTTATTTTAATCTCAGTAAACTCAGAAAGGCTCTTTGGAGCCAATACTCTTATTTAATAGAAACATTAAGTTAATCTCAAAGACTAGGTATTGCAAGTGGTTAACCAGAGATGACCTTTCACTAAAACATTGTTTAGAATAATTTATACAGAGGATAATTTTGAGTTGAGAAGCCTATAAAACTACAAGCACCCTGGATCTTTCTCTCCCCCCCCCTTTCCTCCCCAAACTAATGGTTATAAAAAACGTTTCCCGACCAAAATTAAAAAAGAAAATTAGAAATGAATGTTAAATCAGCAGGACTACAGGATGTCCGGTAAAATCCATAAAACTGCCTATTGGCCTTTCTGTTGGAACCTAAAGGCAGCTGGTGGATTTAATTAGGGATATTAATTTCTCAGATAAAAAGAATCAAACTAATCCTTGCTTTAGGAGAACTCTGTGGAGGGATGCTGGAAATGGATCCTATCTGCCGTTTAGGCAGAGTTTTTGAGCAGAAAAGCGACACCAACTCTCTACAGTATAGCATTGCAGACAAAATACTGAATAAGGTGAATGGATATTATGAGAACAACCTATTGTTGGTATTAGATTGCTAAATATAGTAAAAGTCAAAAGAACACCGTAGAAATGTAATTTCTCAAAACATTTTGAAATCATACCCCTCTTGGATCTCCAAACTTGAAGTTAGTTTACATCTAGGTTCCCATAACTTTCCTCTTACTTCTCTTCCCTTGTCCAGTTCTTCATTGCATTCCTGCATCACTTCTCTTCTCAGTGTTTACATAAGGTATTCCAGATGAGATTTCATCATGAAGCAATTAGGCATTTGGGTACTCAGCCTCAGCAATTGGGCAATTCTGATTACTGTGTTTATACTGGGCAGAAGAAAATAGCAGAGCATGCTAGTAAGTGGTAGAAAGATGTTGAAGAGCAGTTATCTGTACCACATGGTTTACCTCAGTGGTTCTCAACCTTTTTAATGCCGCGACCCCCAACCGGTCGTAAGTCGAGGACTAAACCGGTTGTAAGTCAAGGACTAAACCGGTCGTAAGTCAAGGACTAAATCGGTCGTAAGTCGAGGGCTACCCAACCGGTCGTAAGTCGAGGACTTTCCCTGCCCGGGAGCACCGCGCATGCGTGGTTCCGCCCCCTGCGCCGGCCGAGGCGTAGCTGGCAAGTGGCAGAGACAGAGCAGGCCAACCACCAGCTGGCCCAGCTCAAGGGAGGTAAGGCACCCGCCAGAAAAGGGGAAAAAATGGCGGACAGCCTTGCTTGGCGACCCCCGTGAAATGGTCGATCGACCCCAAATGGGGTCGTGACCCATAGGTTGAGAACCACTGGTTTACCTGCTTCCCTTGATTGTGGTCAGAGATGCTTTTCCATCTTATCTGTTGGAGTAAATATTAATCACCTGTCTATAGCTTCTATCTATGGAACTTAGGGAAGGGCATTGCCATCTTATTCTTTACTTCAGGCAAGAGATTAGTAGTGATGTGCATTTTTCATTTATATCAATGGGGCTTCTGTTCACATCTCATTGTGAGAACAGAACATCGCACAGCTAGTGGTCACTATTGCCCCTTAGGTTTCTACTCTTGAAAAATTACTTTTTCAAATAATTATTTTTAGTGTCTTAAAACTGAGCTTGGCTTTCTTATTTTCTAGCACAATCTGGGTTTAGTTTATTTCTCTCTCTCTCTCTTTCTCTCTCTCTCTTTTGAAGAGGGATGGAAACTAAATAAAGCAAAGCTTGGGCATTGTTTCAAGACCTGAGAAAGGCTGCAATTTTCCCACAAGGAATAGATTTTAAGCTCAACAGCACATCTGGGTAGAGGTTTTATATACTCAGTGGTCAGATCTGTAATCAGCCTGTTTATTCTGGAGCAAGACTGATGAGATGCAATTGACTCCAGCAAGTCTTACATGAAGGTGTATTAACTCTAGTATAAAGTTGTGTTCATTTACATCAGTGTAGGAAATTGGTTGCTTATTTTCCCCTCCCCTTTGCACTAATGCAGACCAGAAACTTCCAGATGTAATACTTCCATAACAGGAGGAGAGCTGTAGTATTTTTTCCTGTTTAAGCCACATAGTGAGCAAAACTATTGACAAAAGTCTTGACTCATCTCTTCCTTCTGCTCCTTTCACCTTCAAACAGTAGCCTAAAATCTGCACCATTAAATGCATCTTTGGGTTTAGCCTGTTTCTCCCTACTCGCTCCCTCTCTCCCTTTCTCCTGCTCCCTATTCCCATCCCCACTTTCCCCCATGCTGGATATTTGCTAGTCCAGCTTTCCTCTTGGCTGGCAGGTTTGCCATGTTATTCATGAAGGATGCCAGACCTTAGCCCTCAATGGTGGGAAAGGACAAGCACTTGTGCACTCTCCTCTTCTTCCATAGTCCTCCAGCCTTTATGTTTGAATTGGGTGACACAAAACAAGAGCGTTCAGAGATGCTAAATTGTTCAACAAAAGATTAGCCTGCAATGTAGCTTGGCTATTGTAGAGGGCTCTTATGCAGTACAATGCTCTGGCTTACCACAGAATGGCTTGCATTTTCTTTGCAAAAGTGGGTTCCTGTGTTTAAAAAGGTTGCAATTTGAGCTATTTGGTAAAAGTGGAGCTCACAGAATTCAAGGCGGAAAGTTATGATTAATGAATGGCGAGGGAAAGCCTTTACCTGATACACTGGAGATTTAATTAGAGATTCTGCTGTTAGATGCAGGAGCATTTCACACTGGATTAGTTGCTGGGAGAAGTGGACTTCTTTCTCCTTCTAGGCTAAATTGTTTAAATTCTACACCCTTCACTTCATTTGTTTGCTTCTGCTGGATTTTCACTAATGGAGGGCCTCTTTCATTGTATTTGTGCTTTCAATCCTTTCAGTCATTCAGTTTGCATTCCATATTTTTGTGTTTGTGTAACACATTCATAAATAACATTACATGCTGCAAGATTCTGGCAAATTAACAAACTTTTTCTTTCTTTCCTTTTTTGAACTAACACTTTGGTTGTGGAATGTAGAACTCTCTAATCCAAAAGGTAAAAAAAGAAAACAAAATTGCATGCTGAGTTTATTCATTAAATAGAAAAAAAATGAATGTTATGTTAGCATGCTTGCTTGAATATTTAATGGAAGTATATTATCTGTCTTGTTTTCTGTTTTCAGTACTCAACACGCTTTCTGATTGTAACTGTTTATCCCTTAAAATGTTTCAGGTATTTCTTTGCTGTTTTGGCAATTTTAACTATCTTGGGCGCTTTGAATGGATTGGTGCTGCTTCCTGTTCTCCTTTCCCTATTTGGACCATATCCTGAGGTCAGTATTATGGTCGTCAGAAATTGTTTTTCCCCTGAGGTTTTATTATAATGACACCTATTTTGTACTTTTACCATTTTAAATTATATTGCTTTATAATATTTGGCACTTTGAGACATAATTCAAAATCCAAAACTTCATTCATTTTACAGATCTAACTTTTGTGATGTAGAAAAATAGATTCTGAAGTAGAACTTTTGTCAACAATTTGTGATTGGATATCAGAAATATTATTTTATGGCCCAACTATTGCTATCTTCCATTTGTGTGCCTCTTTTTCAAAAACAGAACAATGGAAAGAGGATGAAAAGACAAATAATACAAAATTTAACAAAACATAACAATATATCTATTAAAGTCCTCTATACTCATAGTTAGTGTCCCCAATTGATTGCTGTTAATCAGGGTTGACTTCATTCCAATACTTGCAGCTACTTCTTAGGAAGTCTGTTGCTGCCATCTTCACTTTTTTGCCTTTCTTCTGAAACATTTTGGGGGGCAAGAGAAGCACAGATGATGACATCAAGTTTGATCGGTTGCAGGTCCAGAAGACAGCTGCTGGGATACCAGCATGCCTGCTTGAAAAGTAATGTACTGCATGCAGTATTCATAGAGAAGGTGTTTCAGATAGCATTCTTCTAAACACAAATTATGTACTTAAACCAAGTACTTGAAACAGCAGACTTTTTAAAAAGCACGTATGCATGGAAGAATCATCATTCTAATTAATTCTTAGGTCTTTTAAAGCTCTGATAACTATTTTTTTAAACTATCTTGTCTCATTCCCATTCATCCATTCATAACACCAACAGAACTTTTCCCCTCAAATCCCATTCTTTCAGAATTTCTCCATAAATTGTTACTGTTCATTAGAATGTTACAGTGAAGACCCCAATCTCTGAATTCCTTTTTTCATACTTAACCAGAATTACTATATGGTAGAAATTCATACTTTTTGACACATATTTTAGCCCTTTTTTCATAACTGAACCTACATCTTTACTGTCATACATGTATTCATTGGCTCCAGTCTAAAAATCAGATCACCTTCATTCAGATTATTTCCTCTTTTTCTTTGTTTCATAGACATCTTCCTTCCTTCCTTTCCTGCCTCGCTCCCCTTCCCTCCCTCCCTATTTTTTTACATTCCAAAACAAAATCTTCCACATGCCAGATGGATCCATAGATACCGACTTTCACTTCCTTTTATGGCTTTATTCAGTTGAGGCTTTTACATAGTGCTTCATCCCCTATTAATGGCAAAGACAGTTTGGGTCAATTCTGGTAAATTTTGACCAAATGCCAGAAGTGCAATCAATGGCCAAGCGTACTTATACTACTCTATTAACTTAGGAACCTAAACTGCTGATTATTTTCTAGATCAGCATATTGTTGGCATCTGACCAATTAGCAGGTTCGTGTGGTATTATACTGAGAGACTATGAAAATTAGTGAACGATGGGAGAAAAATAAGGGAAAGCAACAAGAGTGAATGTAGAAAAAATGTAGGGAGAGAACAAGTCCTGTATGAAAAAGTATTAGAAGACAGATCAGTTGATCTTTCAGTGGACTGAATAGGAGTTGAATGTAAAGATGGATGTTGTGCAGAATTATGCTACAGAATGTCACAGAAGTGTGTGGGGTAACAATAATTGGAACCCTTTTACTTCACAACAGCAATCCACGTATCGTGCAGTAACACAATTTAAATAACAGTGTATCAAATCTTAATTTATATGTCATGTTCCTGCACTGTTCATCAAGGATTATTAAGTGGAAAATGACACTGGACACAATTTATCTGTAGTTCTTTAAAGACTGGTCGTGGGTATTTCTTCAAGCTTAGCAATATGCCTGAGGCTTTTATTGATCTACTAAGAGCTTTAAAAAATGTTATCTTCAGGTTTCTCCAGCTGATGGAAGGAGAAGACTGCCTACCCCTTCTTCTGAACCTCCCCCAAGCATTGTGAGGTTTGCTGTTCCACCGACTCATGGTCAAAATGGCTCAGATACATCTGATTCTGAATACAGTTCTCAGACAACAGTATCAGGAATCAGTGAGGAACTACATCAATATGAGGGCCCCCAGAGAACTGGGGCCCCAGTCCATCAAGTCATTGTTGAAGCAACTGAAAATCCGGTGTTTGCCAAATCCACGGTGAGTAACTGAAATCCCATTTTGGTATTTAATTTATTGTACCACTGATCCCATATATTTATTGTTAAAAATAATCCTGAAGCAGGGAATTAATTTATTTCAGGAAAGAATATTTATGATAGAGTAAAGTAGAAAATGATCACAGTTAAAAATACTAAATTATAAATCTTTAAACAAGGGACATTGTTAGGTAACACCTGTTTAGAAATTTCATGTGACTATAAGTGGTACAAAAAACAGTAATTGATTGTAAGTGAAGGAGATGATTAATGAGCAAGGCATGTGTTCATAATCTCATCTCCAGAACATGAAAAATGGTAATAAATACAAAATCTACTTTATCTGCCCTTTAGTTGTATTTTACTGTACTTATTACAAAATTCAACTGAATAAAGGAAAGAAAGTGAAGTGTTAGAACAGTCCAGTGCTAAATGAATGGATTTAATTTGTATAATTTCTTCTGAAACAGAGATTTGAGTAGGAAAGTGGGTTGGCCTAGTTTGAGAATAATTTCTAAGTAAAAAAAATGAGTTTTGCCAGGTTCTCTTTCATCAGCATTAAGTAGCCTTTGCATGTAAGGGGACAGGAACAGAAAGAAAAAAATTCTAGCTGGATATAAGTTGACACAAGTGATGAGTATTTATCAAAGTGTTTTTTGCAAACCATGTCCAATTCATATTTATCTTTGAACAAGCTAAACTAGGAAGTAAAAAGGGATTCTTTTCTTCTGCTTTGCTTCCAGTGCTGCTTCTGAGATGAAGAATAGGTTAATTAGAGCCATTACAATCAGAAGTAGAGTCCGGGGCATCCATGGTGGTGAGGGAGAAATCAAAAGGATCAAAATGGCAGGCGTGACTGGGCAATTGAAGGCCCACCCTGTTTACATGAGAACAACATACATTAAAAAGGGGCAGGAGTTTGATTGTCTGGCTGTGCCAGACATTTTGATATTACTGACCCCACCTGTGGATGCCCCTGAGTAGGGATACCCTTTTAGATCAAATGTGTTTTAATTTAAAAGGATTCTGTACTCTACATGCTTAAAAAATTCAGTTCTCAGTTAAATGCGCCATCTCCTTAATATTATCTACTTGAACTCTATCTCTTGCCAAAAAAACCAAGAGTGTTTGCTTATGGAGCCACACGAGAAGATGTTTCCATTCCACTTTTTTTTGCAAAAGGAGAAACCGTACTTAAGTGGATTAATGAGAACACACTTGAATAAAGTTGTGGAAAGTAATTCTGTGGATGCATGCATGAACTTTTGTTTCACTGCGACGGTGCCCTTTATTGCTTGTTATGAAGTAAAAGGGCTACCATAGAGCAAGAATGCACCTAGACTTCTAAGTAACTTTGCCAGATTTGCTGTGGCAAAGTACATTTAATTAATGCAACAATAACTATTTCATGAACCAGATAAAAGCTTTTGGTTCACAATATTGCTCACAGGTTTCCCTGCCTTTTTTTCTTTCAGGTGATCCAACCAGAATCAAGCTATTATCCATCAAGCCCAAAGCTACAGTCTAACCAAGACCCTGGAATCCAACAAACATGGCATAAGAGCAAGAAGTTGAAAAGAGAACCAAGGGAAAGACTTCAACCACCCCCTTACCGGCCACGTAGAGATGCCTTTGAAACTTTTACTAAAGGGCATTCCTGTTCTAGTAACAGGGATTGCTCTGGTCAGAGAACTCGTTCTCAGAACATCAGAAATCCAGCCTTCACCGCCACAGGCTCTTCTGTGCCATCATGCTGCCAGCCTATCACTACCGTGACTGCCTCAGCTTCAGTTACTGTAGCTGTACATCCTGCTGGGCACAGCCACAATCCTCATGGAGGAAGCTTTCCAGCCTATGAGAGACACCATGAAGCTGAGCATGGACAATTTGAGGATCCTCATGTGCCATTTAATGTCCGGTGTGAGAGGAGGAACTCTAAAATAGAAATCATAGAACTGCAAGATGTTGAATGTGAAGAAAGGGCTCATGGCGAGGGCTCGGATTAAGGTAACGCTTTCCATCCCCCAGTGGGTAGCATTACTCACACCATCTGCCAGCGTGCATAATTGCCTTACGTGCACTTCGTACCCATCTCTTGGCATTGAGTCCTGGTGGCGCAATGGTTAGAATGCAGTGTTGCAGGCTAATTCAGCTCACCCGCCAGGAGTTCAGTCCTCACTGGCTCACGGTTGACTCAGCCTTCCATCCTTCTAAGGTTGGTAAAATGAGGACCCAGAATATTAAGAGAAATATGCTTACTCTGTAAAACGCTTAGAAAGTGCTATAAAGCAGGGCTTTTCAACCAGTGGTACGGGTACCACCTGTGGTACATTGGCACCTGGCAGGTGGTACGCGACCATCCTAGAAAAGTAGCGGGGGAGGCGAATGAGCTGAACTGGTGGCAGCACAGCACAAGCCTGAGCGAGAGATGGCTGGAGCTGCAGGGCTGTCAGGGCTCAGCGGAAGCGCCAGGATCAGCACCAGGCTCCAGCTGGAGCTCGGCGCTGATCCTGGTGCTTCTGCTGAGCCCTGAAGAAGCATCAATCAGCTGGAATGTTGCAGCATCTCCAAGGTCTTGTGATTTACATTCAGATGCTTGGCAACTGATTCATATTTATGACGGTCACAGTGTCCCAGGCTCATGTGAAGTGACCAAAACCTGCTGCAACCACCCAGCAGACGGGGGGAATAAAAACCAAACACCCCCCACCCCACCCCCACTGCCAATCCTCAACAGAAATGCTCACAACCATGAAAACCTTGGACAGGAGGAAGAGCGCCGCCGGGTGGGCAGGCAGGTGTCTTGCTCGGCTGTGGCTTGGGGGGCACTTTTTTCAGTGCCATTGTAACTTTGAACAGTCACTAAGTGAACTGTTGTAAGCCGAGGACTACCTGTACTTCATCAATTTTTTCCTTTTTTGGGGGGGTCATCAAGTTTTTGACACCTTGCTAGGCGACTGGTGGTACTCGGATGTTGCCATATCCCAAAAGTGGTACAATGGGTGAAAAGGTTGAAAAGCCCTGCATATAAAGCACTGTGAAGCAGTTTGTAAGTCTAAGTGCTACTGCTGTTGTTATAGCCTCCTGTAGCTTTAAGCAATTTCTTATTGTATTAAGGAATTTCTAAAATACAGGGGAACATGCAGATGAGAAGGGCAACTATATGAATTCAAGAAACAAAAAGGGGCTTGAGTCTAGACTCAAATTTAAGGGCTCTGTACTGGGACAAAATTTCAGTTGTCTGGATTCACTTGATGGCAGCCAGGGTGATTGTGGATTAAGAAGGAAAAAGCTGCTTGCCTTTGCTGTGATTTAGCTAACCCAGTTTGAATATGCTGATAAATTAGTTGAAAAGAAGAGAAACAAGCAAATACTTTCTATTTCCCCTTTAACGTTACACTGAAGCACTGGAGGGGTGAGGGGAAATCTGTGAGTGAAGCCTCAAGCACATAGTCCTGGCTCAACATACTGGGACTCCTGAAGGAAGTTATGTGTTAGATCGCGCAGGCAGTAAGACACGAGTCGAGTGACAGTCAGCTCTTGGTTTATTGGCAAGGCATAAGGTAAATCCGGACTGGATCTCTGGGCCAGGGGAGCCCTCTTTTATGGGATTCCCCTGGCTTGTAATCATACAATTCCATTGGCTGGCAAGACCCCGTTGCTAGTTAGCCAACCAGCAACGGAGACCC